AATAATAATAATAATAAAGTTCATTTCAAAAACACGCTTCATCCCCAAAGGCTCGAAGCGCGGTACAAAGTCAACAAAAAAATATCTATAATTCACCACATTTAAAACAAACGCAACACTACAAAAACTAATTACAAGCATACAATATCAAATTATTCACACTAAGACCCTTCCTGTCTTTTATTATTACGATATTAATTCTCAATGTTAATTAAAGGCCATTCTAAATGCCTGTCTCCCCAATAATATGAATGAGTATGAGCGCATGGCTTGTCTTTATTCACTTACTCACAAGATGCAGCAGATACTTGGACCATTGTAAGTGATCCCAGCATCTATTGAAATGTGTGGGTATGTAAATAAAATCTATCCAATAGTTCTTTTAAACTTTTTCATGAGATTCATGACCCATCCTGCATCATTTAGTTTCAAAAATGATTAAAAATAAAGAATCCAATTTCATTTAATCTTTAATTCTAAGTTTTCAGATTAACCATGTCTTTCTTTGGACTTACACATCTTGGGTATCAAAATACCCTCAAAGAAGTATCAGTGGCATCACAGCAAGATCCCATTAGGTCAAAAACACAGTTGGGATATTTGGCATTGCCACCACTGAAAGATCCAAATCCACCCCAGAGATCTATAGTACCTATCAATGATATTTCACAATATGGGTCAGGTCACCAAAACTCATATGTTGAATACTCAAGATTGAGACATAAACATACTCGAAATCCCACAGGTTGGTTGTTGACCTACTAAGTTAGACCTTTTTATATTAATCATAAGAAATAATCTGGCAAACAATAGACTCAACAATTCATGAAATTTTCATCTGCTAAAAGTACTAGACAAAACATGCATTCAAGTGACACACTTTATAAGAATTCCAATAAGTGCTAACTTCTGAGAATTTTATTTTGCGCACTTTTTGAAAACAACACTACAGCCATACATACATATTTCGAGAACGATTTTTTTAGGAATTTGAGTTGTTTGAAGATTATTTGCCACTTATTTAAAATAAAATTGTAATAATCCTCACTTTCAAAATACCTCATAATAAATATAGATAGTGAATGAATGGAAGGTTCCTCTCTTCAAATAAAGTTTTGAAATACTGGAAAATATCTTTACTTTATAGAACCCACACAAATGTATCTCCGACCTGCAACAACAGCTCAGAACATTGGTTGGTGGACTAGAGAGGAACCACTGAGACACAATCAACCTTGGACTTATGTACCAAGAAAGGCAACTTTAAGAAGTGAAATGAGCAGGTAAGCGAGTGATAAAAAGTCAATGACCTTTCATGATCAAGGTGAACAAGTTAGTGTACAAAAAACTATTTCTTACTTTTTCTAGGAAGTAGTAAGAGATGAAAAAATTATTATTGAACATTACCTCCGGTTTTTAATTAAAAATTGGTTTAAATATTTATCTGCACATTTTAAAAAAATTTTTCATTTCAGATTTGTGGATGACATGAAATTGACTAATAGGGAGTTCACATTGTTTTAAAAGATTGGATTCTGACAAGTTGTCCCCAATTTACAAAGCTCATTTCTAGATAAAGTTTCTGATGGAATTAATTTTAAAGTATGTAAATAAAAAATTCCTTTGTTAAAGTTTTTAAATAATAAAAGCTTGAAATATTTCGAATCTTCGAAACACTTACAGACAGATCTGAAAATTGTTTAAGAACCTATATTATTGTCTTTTTTATATTTACCTGTACTCACAATACACTAGTTTGAGTATTCATTTATGAAAGAAAAACAAATATTTTTGAAGATTTCTTATTTTGCACAGATTTTTTAAAAATGTTACATAAATTAAGGAAAACTTTTTAGTACATTTATACATTTAACTTACATTATGAAGTTTTGCAATCTAAACTATGAAGATAGTTTTTGAAGTAATTAATTTCTTTTTTTTTTATCTACTCTTGCCGTTATATTATTTTTGTTGTGCTATTGTATCTACTAAAATGGATTGTGAGAGTGAAGGCAATGGTCCTTTGTTGGAAAATTGAGCATAAGTCCATTTGCTAAATACAATATTATATTACCCACGCTCACTTTATATTTAAAAATATTTTTTATTAGCTTTTAATACCACTGTTTCCCAAACTTTGATCTTACCGAACCTAGAAACTTTCAATGGGCTGTCAAGAGGAAGAGCTTAAAAAGAGATTGCAATGTTGACATTGTGAAAACGAAATTTCTATATTTTGCTGAGTTTTTAGACCTGTAGAGTCAATGTTTTATGATAAAATAAATGAATGAAATATATTTGTATTGCAATGACATTCAACAGCTTGTTAAATTTTAAAAAAATGTGATGTTTAATATTGGCCTCCTCTCCCACTTTGAAAACATAAATAGATTTCCCCTAAGACAAAATTTTAATGGCTCCCCATAATCCTGTGGAGAATACAGTCCACATCAGGGAAACACTGGTGTAGACTAACTTTTTCATCAATCAATATTATACTAGAATTAGAATGTTGGGCGATCAGGAAAGGAACAGTTTTAGTAGTGATTTTTTTTTGCTTTAATTTTTCACCTACACTTACAATGAACTAGCATTATCATCCATTGAGCTATTTTTGAAAACTAATCACTGTAGACTAAGCTTACATCATTATCACAAAAATTAGCTGAACAGGATGTACTTAGGCTTGAAAAAAAGACAAACGTTATCTTCCCTGTCTTTTTTTTTTTTTTGCAAGCCTCAACACATCTTGTTTCACTATTTACATCACACAACTTGAACACAGTCCCATATATATACCATCATATCACACCAACATTTTTACATTAAAAACGATTATATCAAAACGATTCCATAAATGTATTACCAGCTAAATGGTAATAAAACTATTATTTTCTAGATCATAGTAATGTAACTGAATTTAACTCAGTACCATTTCTTTTAAAAAGTATATTGATGTTGTAACAAAATAAAAATTAGTCACTTTCAAAATGAGACTTTTGATGAAACCCCCTTAACATTATGTTGGTACAAAGAGTATAATAATGTTGATTATAGAATGTGTATTTAAGTATCCAAGAGTTTTGTAATTAACTTTTTTTTTTTTTTTAGGTGTGAAGCTTTTAACTTTTTTTTTAAGGCATTTACTTTTTTTTAATACTCAGTGTTTCCAGCCTTTCATCATTTAATATGTGTAAACAAAATAAAAATTAGTAACTTTCAAAATGAAACTTTTTATGAAACCCCCTTAACATTATGTTGGTACAAAAAGTATAATAATTTTGATTATAGAATGTGTATTTAAGTATCCAAGAGTTTTGTAATTAACTTTTTTTTTTTTTTTAGGTGTGAAGCTTTTAACTTTTTTTTCAAGGCATTTACATTTTTTTAATACTCAGTGTGTCCAGCCTTCCATCATTTAATATGTGTGATTTTATTTTTATTGTGAGTCGTCTTTGTGAATCCTGGTAACAGTTTAGCCTCTCGTTTCATCCCTTTTTTGGGTTTCTTTCTTAATATAAAGTTTATGACAATTTTTCAATAATTTTTATCAGGAGCAAACAGCAACATTTTAAGTGAAAAGTCTGATGTCAAAATTAAATTTTTCATGTCCACTCAAGATAGATAGTTGAAGGAGACCAGAAACACTGTTAAAAATCTAATGCATTTTTATTTTATATTCTTTAAAATTCTGTTCAAGACTTTTTTGAAATTTAAACATGGTCTAATTATGTAAATTAATGCAAACTGTAAAAAAAATATATTCCAACAGAAATTTTATTTTGTTTTTATCGACATGGAGTGTTCACAATTTATTTCAGTGCTTTTTAATTGAGAGAAGCGTATATCTAATTCAGAATTGATACTATAGGCAGAAATATTAATTAAATATAAATCTGGTGCTCAAAGAACTAAGTCACTGTCTTGCCATACAGAATGTAAATAGTATAAAAAATACCTGACCCAAAACATTTTGATATCTCTTCAAAATTCAAAAGTTTGTTAGTTTTTTTTAAAAAGAAAAATGTATGCCCTATCATAAAAACCTTTTTATGTATACTTAATGATTTTTATACAACAAATGATGAACCTGATATGTGCACATCCTAAATTGACTAATGTACATCACATAATGTCACATGCCATTTTGTTTTGTTTAAAAAGTGTTCTCAAGTTCATAACAGCTCAAATGTAAATAAAGCAAAATACAAAGTGATTGAAATTTTCTGTTTATTCTTTTCACAAATACAACAAGCTCAAATGTAACAAACATCAATTAAAGAGTCAGGACAAAAAAAGTAATATGTTGATCTCAGGAAATACTCTGTGCTGCCCACTGCTTGATCTCTGTTGGACAGTTAGGGTATTTTTGTAACGCATCCAGTAACTGTCAGAAATAAGAAATTGTTTAGAATTACAAATAATACAGATTTGAATTGAAGATTTTCCTAGGGTTTTATGAAAATTAAAATATGATTTATTTAGATAAAAGTTATAAGTTTTAAGATACAAATTAATTTTTTTTAAATCGATTCAAATAGACCTTCAAAAATAAACAAATGGCACATTTTCTTAATGCAAAAAGTGTGTAACTGAATTTAAAAAGCAATATATTTTATAATTTCTTCCACAATGAAAATAAATTAAAAGTTATTATAGCAAGTGAGTAGAGTAGTGTAGACAAAAATATTTTTGCTCCCCCATAGTTTATTTTGATTTTAACCTCATATTAATCCCAACTTTAGAAATACGTCAAGAAATGTGCCCAGCCAAGAACTGTTAAAAATAAATTGTTAAAACCTGATCAGGATTAGGTTGTAAAAATAAATTGTTACCTGTGAAGGATGAACTTGTAACGTCATTAACTTGTATTCTTTAAGACTAAGAAAACCTCCAGCACCACCACCGGCACTGTTGTGGGCACGTATCAATTCTAAAGTTTGAAGATGTTCGTATGCCTAAGTAGAGATATTAAACAGACATATAATTTGAAACATACCTTTTAGATTGGAATAAATGGAGTAGGATTTATAGCAGTCGAAATAACATTTTGCAATCAAATATGATACAAAAAGTGATGTGCCGTGAAGCAAAGCATTTCTGTAATACTATTTTGGATAACTTGCAATGAACGTCTATTGTAACACAATGACAATCAAGTGTTGTTTACCATAAAGAAAAAATCACTAAGAAATCAAGTGGCGGATTAATACAGATATTACAGATTATAATTGACAGGACTATATGATCAACCGTATTGGCGAGCATGTAAAATTAGAGAGTGATCTTGGGATGTTCAAAGAAGAAGGTTGAATGAATTTATTGTCTGGGGACACTAAGAGAATCTGTATAGTATAACCCTATTCTTAATTCAGTAGAGCATTACTGCAACTATTTCACATTGATAATGTGGATTGGAGCTGTATTATACATTTATTCAAGTATTATATGAAAAGCAGAGACTGCCATTCCAGGATTGGCCTAATGAGCCATTTGATGAAGTGTATATAGCTACTCCATCATCCCGCGAGGATGGAATTATGTCATATATATGATATACATACACACATATATATATCTATATATGTAAAGTTATTGAAGTAAATAAAGTTATGTGTCTGAAGGCCTTGACCTGACATTTTGATCGTGCATGTGGTGGTGCAGATGACATAAATAGCCCAGACCGATTGAGAAGAAGAAAAGTAGCAATGAGGTGTCATGAACGTCAGTAGCAACACTGGCGTCTGTAGGTCACACACATAATGTAACCGTTTTAAAAACAAAAACAAATAATTAAAACACACATGAAATCGAACAAATGAACCACGTGGCAGAAGAAAGCAATTTTCAAGAAGACCCAACCCATCGGCAGCTCACCTTCATGACCACTGCCTTCTCGTACACTTGCATTCCAGTTCTCCTGCGTGCAAACTTGAGGTACTCTGTAGAGTGAAACCACTTGGCTCTTCATTAAATACACCAAGAATCGATTCGCCAATGATGTTAACATAGATTATGTTGTAAGTTATGATCCTACCGAGACAACCATACAAATATATGGTTTAATTGAATGAAACAATTCCGATCCCCAGCCCAGAGGTAAACAAAATAATGACTTTAGCAAATGAAAACATTCATCATAAAATAAATTGGCCCCAAAACAAAAATAAATAAATAAAATAAAGCATTTTTATTAAAAAATACACTTGAGCTTTAACCAGAGCATGCAATTTTACCGGTTTACATACAAAAGGTGAAGTAGAGAGAAGATGTTATATCGACGATCACATTTATTTTTAGTTTCAAGATTATTGTCTTGATTTACATATTGAGCTTGAGCTCACCACTGTAAACCATCTCAAAGTTGAATGGCTCCCCATCATAAATCTCTGTGATGTGCTTCATGGCGATGACAAGGCAGAGTTCTAGAGTTGAGATTCCTGCCACAAATTCAATATACAAGTTTTTATTAAAAAAAAGGGGGGGGGGGGAATCAATCCCTGCAATATTTTTGGGGGGTTTTCAATGAAATCGTTGCAACAAAAAGGGGGAAAACAGGCTTACGAAACAATCAGATGTAACAGCTGTGCAGAGTTAAGCGAACATGTTTGAGCACAAAAAAATAATCCATCCACCAAAGAACCATTTTAATTGTAATTTAAAATGAATTAAACTTTAAAGGCTAATTATGTTTACAAAATGTTGATATGGAGATTAAAATTGTGTACGCTTAGTGTAAAAGAAATGATAAGCTTACCATGGAGCATTGCAGATTTGGTATCATTAGAGAGCAGTTTGAAGGAAGTCACAAAATCTCCTGCTGTAAGGTTGGGATGGGTAGAGCTTACTTGGCAAATGGGATATGTCTGTGCAAAAATCAAAATGAAAATAAGTTGCATGCAACAGCTTGTTAATCAAATAAACATATTGATTGTTGAATGTCTATGCAAAAAAAAAAAAAAAAAAAAAAAAAAAAAAAAAAAAGAAAAAAAAAAAATATCTAAAGTTAGTATTTAAAATTATCAACATAATAATTTCATTTAATTTTTTTTTTTTTTAAAATGTTTACAGTGAGTAAATACATATGGCAGTAATATGAGAAGTGGGCTGCTTACTAATAGAGTCATAAGTCCTCTAACATCACTCGTCAATGAAAAGTGCCTTTCCAAAATATCTTTCACAGAAACCTCCTCGAGAAGATCCTTGTATGAGAAGTAATACATTGGTTTGTTATAATTTATCATCCAGTCAGAATTGTCAATGTCGCTAGCTGGTGGCAAGGAAAAATGATCATATAGATTCAGAATAACTGGATTTTGTTTTTATCGCAAAGTTGAAACTTATGTTTATCCAAAAGGAGCATTTACCATGTAATTTACGAGGTTGCCCCATTTCATCAGAATGAGAGCTTGGGAAAAAATTGCTAGAAGCATTTAGTTACTTCTTTATTTCAAATATACAGAACTCACCACCGCTTGGCAAAACCTGGATGAGGGAACTTATCATCAAGACTGAGACATGCTCTACACAATTCTCTATACTCACATTGATATTTTGGTTCCACTGCATGGCAAAATCTGGATGAGGGAACTTATCATCAAGACTGAGGTACGCTCTGCACAATTCTCTGTACTGTTGTTTGGTTTGTTTGTTAAACAGGTGCAACTGTCTGTGAGAAAATCTGGACTTGACTCTCTTTTCTAACAACTCAATGACATCCTGTGGTGGAAACAAAAGTGCATTAAGACGGTACACAACTAACATTCCACACAAAAAAGCAACAACTGTAATTGTCGTACACTGTTTGATAGATATACCTTTTTATTTTTACATTCAAGAAAGCTATTGCGAATTCCATAATTTGTACCCATTTAGCACACAATATTTAATGTCTTGATGTAAATGGTATGTAAAAAAAAAAAGAAAAAACACAATTGCTAATTCATGTAATTTGGAAGCACCATTTCTGTGTGTCAAGATCAGATTCAGCATTGAAAAATGTTACCCATAGGCTTGAAATGAAAAAAAATAAATCAACTAGCCACATAAAAGTGTTCATTATGAGACTGACCATTTTAATACAAATTGCATTGTGTAAAAGGATGAATTTTTCCACATTCAACTCTTCCTATAGCTGTGTCTTTGTATTTTATTCAATAACTTTACATCACACACAAAAATTATTTTCAAAATGCTTAAGTTTATTTTGTTCTCAAATTAACCCTGTGACAGTGCATTGAGATTGGTTTTCAAATGGTTAAACCCTGTTTATATCTTACCAGCCTGCAGGTTATGCCGATAACACAAATCGGTGCCTGGGCCGACTGTGCCACATCAAAGAGGTTGTACAGCAAAGTCTGGTTCTTGTGCTGGGCAAACAAATCAAACTCTTCTAGTATGAACAGAATGGGTTTGCTGTCTTGGTCACCTGCACGTAAGGAAACAACTTACAAATGATGGCACTGGAACTAAACCAAAATCTGCAGATGTACGGTAGTCTGAAATATGCACCAGTGAAACAACGTAATTCCAAGCAAAATTAGTTTCTTTGTCCAGTTTTATGTTTTTAAATTCAAATTTCATTATTTAAAAAAAATTATTCAATTATTATTTTGTCAGATCAAGGTAGCTTTAAAAAGAAAAAAAAATCATTTAATCATAGTAATCACATTATTTAATAAAAACAGTTTCCACTTGCCACAAATTGAAAAAGAAAATGTAAGGATAAACTTCATTACACACACACACACTAATTTACCTTTTTTCAAAGCTTGTAAAAGAAACTGCAGTGTTTCAGCAAATGATCCCTGAAATTAAATAATCAAGATTATTGTGAAGTTAGAGATGAAATGGATAACATTACCATGGCAATCCAAGAAAAGTTTATTGTGGAGTAAAAACAAAGATAAGAGGTGCTGAAAAAAAAAAAAAAGTTCGTCTAACAAAGAATCATGCACATTGTTATTTTAAATGAGTATATTATTTAAATTACTCACAAAGACTTTATCTCCAACTGTGTTTTCTAATTTCAGTTGTCGAGTAATTTCTCTTAGTGCAAGTCTGTCATCAGTTTGCAGCAGTCCTAACAAACATATATATATTTATACACCAGTTATAAGCCGCTTTAAAAAATGGCAGCCGCAATGTGAGAACTTCCCAACTTGTTAATTGACAAAGCATGTATTCAAGTAATGCATGTTACAAGATTTCCAGTTAGTGCTACCCCCACCCCCATTTATTTGACAGCACACCTTTTTTCAACATCCATGAACTATATTAATATTCTAATGTATTACCCCCCTTCTACACACCATATTTATTATACCATTTTTAATTTGAGATTATTTCCTTAAAACAAAAGAAAATATTACGCAAACCCACAAGCAGTATTTTTAAGAATCTCATTTAGGGCAGTTATCTAGAATTTTATATTGCGCACAACTGAACTGACCATTACACCATAGTTTCTGTCATAAACAGACAATTATATTGTTTGTTATATATTAAATGGAATAACATAATGATGAAAATTGTCACCAGTCTTAAAATGCTGAACATGACAACAATCTTAACTTAGCCTTGTGTTATTTTTCATTGAACCACGGATAAGCAAAATTTATAGATTGAAATATGCAACATTAAAAAGTTAATTATGTGAAGTGGCTCCAAAGGTTTTTTAAATATATTTCCATGATCTTGTCAAATATGAAATAACTCACCATGAAGCTTGACAAGCATCATATTTTCCTTGATTGAACTGTCTGTATATAAATCCTCAACAATGTTTGCCACAAGCTGAAATCATAAGCAGATAAAAATACATTACAAAAAAAAAAAATTATTGACTGTATTGCTGAGAAAACAAAAGGTGTTCCTGTGAACTTTTAATTTAAGTCTTACTGAAATTCTGAGGTTAAAAAAAAACAAGTTTTATTTCTTTAGATTTAGAGGTAGGCCTATCTAAAAAAAAAAATTATACATTTTACAACATTACTATATTTATAATCTACATATAAATTTGTGTGTAATTAGTTCTTTTTAAATAGTAACCACTTGGTTAATTGACTTCACAGTTTACTGACACATTTCTAGGGAGGCAGAAAACAAAGAAAACTATATATAAAACTGTAATCAGACCAGTTGTAACATACGCAAATGAAACTTGGACCCTAATAAAAACGGCAGAAAACTTATTAATAATATTAAACACATGGGAGAGAAAAGTTATCAGGAAAGTATAGGGATCAACAAAGGATGAATATGGTTGGAGAATACGAACCAACCAGAAATGGTATAGTCAATATCAGGATCACACGCTAGTACCAAAATTAAAAAGAGCAGCCTACGGTGGGCAGGACACATAGAAAGAATGCCAAATGACAGAGGAGTGAAAAGTGTGCACCACTAAAACCCCAGGGAAAAACGGCTCAAAGACAGACCTAGGCTTAGATGGAATATGTGGAGAGGGATCTACGGCAGCTGGGAATACAAGCATGGAAAAGAAAAACATCAGTTAGGTCTGAGTGGAAGGATGTGGTGTTTTTAAAACACTGCCCTGTACTTATGAAGTTAAAAACCAAAATCAGTCTTAATTTATCAGCCGATACCTTTGACTTCCCACAGCCTCGAGGTCCAATAAGAAGTAAAGAGTTGCTCTCCCCTGTAGTGGCAGTTCTCTTGATTAGATCAAACAGTTGCCTGTATTCGTTTCAAAGAGAATCGCAGTAGGTAAAAGAAATGTGCAAATTATTTATATGATACTTATACATGGTATATTTAAATTTAGTCTGTGAGAATTATAAATTTTTATGTGTCAGCAGATGTAATCAAAAAAACCAATATGAACATTGTCCAAGTATGAATAACAGTGGAATGAATGATTTTTTATAGAAGCAAAACTTACTTTCTTTCTCTATCATATCCTTTAAGTTCTGATGGTGAAATCACCTGAGATATTCTCTGCCTCAGAATCCTCTGGACATCATCAATCACACCATCATCTTGTTCATCAACAGTCTTAGACACTGGTGCACATAAATTGACCTTTTTGTGTGGTGAGGCACATTTTTTGGGTGAATTCAAATTTATTTTCCGTTTGTGTGGTGAAGAACTGTTAACTTGATCTTCAGGGTTGCCACAGAAAGATTTTTTGGAAGGTGATTCACTTTTATCTCGCAGTCTCCTGCTCATGCCAGACAGTTCAAGTCTTACAGGTTGTCCTAACATGAATTTGACTGGAGATGTTAGGTTATTACATGCAACTTTGGATGGAGATGATAATTCCATTTTTGCACGAGATGCAGCACTTTTACCTACTTTTTCAGGGGACTTAAGTGGTGAATTTCCATGTTTCACCATTTTGTAACAAAGATAATGATCTGTAAAAATATATTTAAAAGATACACATATAATTTTGTGAAAGACAGTAAAATGCCAGATTATAAGAAACCACTTCACTTAAAGAAAATAAAGTAATGTAAGTAATGAATTAAGCATGTCATATTCATCTGAATAAGTGTTGATAATAATATCCCAATATTACTATTATTACAACAGACAGGATGAACTCCATCATTAAACAGAGGAAAAAATGCTGCAATCAAGTTATTTCAGTTCTTTTCTCATAATTAAAATGAATTGCAATGTATTTTTGGTCATTAGTTACTAGAGCTACTGAGCTTAATAATTCGGCACAGTTAACTAGATTTTAAAAGTCCTGGCTTATACTCCTCCCAGTGACTACATGTGACTTGCTGAAATTTTTTTAAAACCCAGAAAATTGTATTTTAAAAGTGTGTACCCGGGTTTTCCACAGATGGGAAAATCTCTGGGGGTTTCAACCTTAACCCATAAACATAACAAAAATCAAACACAGAGAAGGCCTGCAATATATGCGTGTGTGCTGCTGGTCACTAGTTGGTAGTAGCTTTTTTCCTGAACCAAACATAGGCCTATGCATGTAATTTTAATAAATATTCTCATGGCTATACCATTTTAGCCATCTTTACATTCCAATCCCTTCACTTATTAAATGCGGATTAAATTACTTTTAGAATTGATCCCAACTTAAATATGCACAATAAAAAACATTAACTGTAAAGAAGAAAAGTCATGATCATAACCAAAGATTTGCATCTTGCAAAGATAAATAATCACACAAAATTTGCAAAAGGTACATTATTATTTTCAGAACTTTTTAGTTTCATTTATATTACATTTAGTTTTGCATCACTCGCTAATTTTTTTCTAGTATTATATAAGTCTTTACACAAATATAAATGTAAAAAAAACTGTTAAAAATGTGCATGTACATTTATTTAAACAGCTGGACCTAGTTCCATTTAATTGTCAAGGTATTCGGGTCAAGGTATTCACCAGGCAGCTGGTGCCAAATACTCTGCATTTCCTAACATGCGGGCAGGACCCAGCTTAGCTCTAGTCATATTACTAATTAACTGATAATTATATTTACAAAATATGACTGATGATTGCAATTATTAATTTAATACTATTGATTATTGTTCATTGTCTATTGCAAAGGTTCCCAAACTTTTTGACTCGCAGAGCCAATTTTAGAATCAATTTCCTCGGGGAGCCCCAAAGGCCTACCATATTTTACAAGTTTCATTTAAAAATTGTATTTATTTTATGTGCGGCTATGACTCCCAGGTTGATAACCAATACAGGTATATTGTATTAGTTTGCCTAGTAGTAAAGTAGAAGGCCCCTAATAGTTCAAATTGGCATAATTTCTAAGTAATTACTCATTACCAATGTTAGTTTGACCAAAAAGTTGATCATGATCACTTTGTCCTGACATTTGATGATGAGGTTTTTTTAGAAGCTTATAGTTAAAAGTGATTTTGTTTAACTACTTATTAGGGCAGACTAAAAACTAGACTTTATTTACAATTTCCCCTTCCAACTTTTATGGCAAATTATATGATATATGATATATCAAATAATGACCCAATAACCCAGTAGTCTGTAGTAGAATAAGTCAGTAGGGTCTGCCTAATCTACTTTGTAAATAATTTAATGATTTAGACTTGGAATTTAGCTTAAAATTTATGCCCAATACTTATAAATATTAAAAATAAGTAGGCCTTATCAAAGTAATAAAGCATGCAAAACTTTGTCACATTTCACATTTTCATCATATTTTTAAATAATTAATTTAATAACAAGTACAGCCTAAAATTATAAACAAAATTGTATGCTAAATTTAATTATACCTATAATATGAATAGAATAGTCTAAGAATAGGTAATGCATACTAATTACTAATAAAAACAACCATTGCCATTAGTTTGAAAATAGAAGAGTAGTTCTGATTTAATTATTGGATTCTTTGACTTCAATTTTTAATTTCATTAAATAAATTTAAAAAACTATACTAGACTATGACACATTCACATATTATATTTACGAAGTGATTATTCGCAGAGATCTGCAGACGCTCGCTGTTATTCAAAGATTTCGGTCTGCCCATAAGGCTCGGCATTATTCGCAGAGACCTTATTTTAATGTGATAAATTAGGTTATGAATATAAAATATAAAGTTCAAACTTGTAGGCAGCTCCTCGATAGCATAGTGGTAAGTGTCCACGTCTGTCAGGCGTGAGACCGGGCTTCGATTCCCCGCCGGGGAGAACTACTTTTTTCAATTGAATAATTTTTTAAATAAAAATATTTAAAAATTTCGTTTTATTATAATATTCATATAGTTTTATTATATTTTTTCATATAATAATAATAATAATAAAGTTTATTTTAAAAACACGCTTCATCCCCAAAGGCTCGAAGCGCGTTTCTAAGTCAACAAAAAACAAATCTATAATTTACCACATTTAAAACAAACGCAACACTACAAAAACTAATTACAAGCATACAATGTCAAAATCTTTCTAGGCATTTCAAGCATAAGCAACACAGCCAATATGCATTAACTGGAAAATAAGGTAGACAATCATCCCAGAAGGTGTATGCGAAATAGATGTGTCTTTAAATCGGTTTTATTATATTTTTTCATATAGCTTCATTATAATTTTCTTATTGTTTTATTATACTCTTCATATAGCTTTATTATTCTGTTCACATAGTTTTATTATCATTATTTTCATATAGTTTTATTATAATTATACTTTTAACTTATTCAATTTCCCTCATTCAAGTCATTCTGTCCAACAATGTAGGGTAGTTATTCAAATTCTAGTTTCAATCTCTTTAATTAGAATGTTCATTCAAGTTTCGTAAAAAAACTGTAAGCAACATGTACATGATTGACATGAAGATGAGCCGCATAAACCATGTTTAAGCCAGATACAATCTCGCTTAGTTTCATAAATACTTGGTCTTTATTTTATTTGACAAGCTGAGCCAGAGGCAGACACACAGTTAAGTATTGAGTGGCTTTTAACAGTACAAAGTAACAAGGCGAACCCATTCAGTCGAAGATTTCGATCTGCCGATAACGCTCGGCATTGTTTGAAGATTTCGGTCTGCTGATGGCGCTCAGGGTTATTCGCAGTATATATTAATATATTTATTTTATATCATTATTCATATAATATAATTATAAATATGAATATGTGAATGTGAGATTTAGTCATTATAGTGAAGTGTTAGTAAGTGTTGTGTTATTGTTGTAGCTAAAAATTGTTTAGTAAAAGTATTTAGTCTATTTAAGTCACAAATCGTGTGATTGACTCTTATACCTACGTTTTATTAAAGCAAGGCGTATTTTAACATGGAATGATTGTGTTGATATATTTGTACCTTGTTTTCTTCGTTCCTATCGTTCGTAATATTTTTTTTAATGAAATGAAAATGTGAACCGGATGTTATGTGAGCGCCAGTTACATTTTTCAAAATTCCCAATTTTTGGTCTTAAAATGCCCTCATATTTCCCCAGATGATAAAATATAATATTATTTTTTTAAAAATAGATTTTTTTTAAAAATATCTGATAGTCCATAAAAATATATAAAAAATGATTTCTACATAAAAGTCCGTTATAACTTTAGGTAATTCGTTAAAAATCTTAACTGTATGCATTAGCCTTTAAGTCACTGAAAGCTTTTGAAGAGGGAAAAGAAAATATTTAAAAAGAAAAAAAATATATATCGAGAAAGCTCAGAATTTTTTATTTCTTTTGTTTGATTCAGATTAAATTTTCATCATGTATGATAATAAGCATGAAATGTTGAGGGAAGTTGCAGCAGTAGGCCATATAAAATCCCCCAAATTATGCTACGGTCGATTTTCAAACTACTGAATTTCTTCAACTAAAAAAGAAATTTAAAAAAAAAAAAAAATGAAAACTGAATAAACAAGATCACGAATACTGTTCTTTCGACTTCCTATTTGAAACTTATCTTAGAATTATTTTTTTTTTCAATAAATCACAATACCTACAAATTGGTTGGGCGGTTAACAAAGTAAGGTTGGGAAAGGCTTCTTTAACTAGTTTAATAGTTCCCTGCTTATTTTCCTAACCATCAAGAGATTTCATAAAATCCAAAATTCACCAATAATGGAGATGACAGCCCTAATCCGCGTGCAGCAGGATTTTGGGAAAAGACAATGGAAATGGATATTTCATACCAGTGGTGCACCTTGACTAAATGCCGCCCGGGGCGAATTCCCAAAATTGCCCTTCCACATAAACATTAATGTATTGGTGTTGGTGAGTAGGCCTACTATGCTTGTCAAGTTAAATATTTTGCAACAAAAGACAATTCATCTGTACCGTAAAAATTGTAGCATAAATTTAGTGGTGAATCTGGGTAGAAAAAAAAGGGGGGGGGGCAAATAATTTGTTATATAGGCCTAAACTTTAGTTAAAATTACTTTTGGAATAGAAAACTATTTTTTGCAATACTATCTATAATTTAGTATAATCATATAAATCCTTTTCTCATCTCTTGCTTTGCTAACAATGAACTTAACACCTCTATGACAGCATTGTAGTTTGTTCCGCTATAAGCGAAATATATTCATATTTTTTCTCTCGACTTGGCGAGTACGTTCTAACTATTTACTAACGATACCTGGTTTAAAGCATCGATAATTAATTATCGTGTACTATATACAGGAAGTAGAATTAGAAAGGTTAATATAATAAATCGTAACGTTAGTCGTAAACAAACTACATTAAATGAGTTTTTATCGCTATAAAAGTTATGTATGTCAAGCTGTGTGAGATGAGTGTTGAAAACCAGCCCGTCAACAGCAAATGTCCACTTACTCGATCACTGACTCCAAGTTTATGAGTCGTGACGGGTTTTCTTCGGGGTCGCCGACTCTAACAGTAAATGAAATTTAAAAAAGAACTCTTGTCTTTTATCGTTATTGAAAAAACAAAAAACAAACAATTTGAATAAAATCAAAGACTGCATCTTTTTAGTTGTTTTTTTTTAACCCTATTCTTTTTTTATTTTTTATTACATATAAAAGGGTCACTTTGAATATATTTAATGGGGTAGCGATTCAATTAGTTTTTGATTTTGTAAAACTCGTTTACACACGGATCACTTTCTTTCTTTAAAGATTTTTTTTTTTGTGGGGGGGGGGGGGGGGGGGGGGTGATGATTCAAAATTCGTTTTGGAATCTGTGTAGCATACTAGAACAATGATTATCTTCCTTTGTCGCAATACTTTGCTACATTTTCAAACAAAATATATACCCCTCCATCCATTACTGTGGCGCTACGGCCCACATAGGGCTTTGGCCTGCCTCACCATACCCTTCTACTCCGAACCAACAGATGCTTTCCATGCTTGGATTCCCCAGCTGCTGCAGTTTCCTCTCCACATATTCCATCCATACTAAGCCCAGGTCTGCCTTTGTGCCGTTTTCTTCCTGGGTTTTGGTGGTGCACCCCTCGTCACTTCTCTGTCATTTGGCATTCTTACTAAGTTTACCGCCCAGCGTAGTCCTGCCCCTTTTTTAATTAACAAAATATATATAATATTAATTCATTGAAGGTTCCAACTGATATTAAGTTGTGCCCCGGTCGTGCTGGCCTGCGTCATTGTCCATGTATATCAGCCTACACATTACAAATTGTCACGTACAAAACAGTAAAGTGGATCCACTCCCCCCCCTTCCCTTTTTTTTTCACAGCTCTCCCATGACTCCCTACATTTCCTAAAAACTTGTAGTCAGCTCCGTCGAGTACCCAAGCAGCGGCGTAGATGGGGTTGGTGTCTACCGATGCGGTAAAATCACGGTGTCACACCCCCCCCCCCCCCTTCCTCGATGGATTTCTTCTTGTTAAAATAAGTCAACAGTGTAACGATGACAGGAATAAAAATCAAATTAATTGAAGGTCAGGAGGTTTGTAATTTAGAACTGTAACACGTACTTAGAATCGCCCATTGGTAATATTGGAAAGATTTATTTCTCAAAATTTACATAAATATAGCTTCCTGTCCATTACGAAAGTTAACTAACACTCAATCGGCGTTCAATCATAGTAAGAGCAGTGTTTTTCTGACCTAATAATAGGGTCAACTCGTTTCTGACGCATCAAACCTGAATTTTTCATAAAGCACGCATTTGGATTGGTTACATGTGTGGAGAATTTACTTGTGATCGGTTATCCTTTTATGACATTCTGTTAGACCCAGCACTGCGCCCCCCCCCCCCGAGATGGTGTCACCCGGTGCGGTCGGCACCCCTCTCACCCCTTAGCTACGCCACTGTATCCAAGTATTGGCACCGTGGATTAGAGGCCGACCAAATTTCGGTTTCGGCGCCGAAAGTGGCCATTTTATCAGTTTCGGCCAAGTTTCGGTTTCGGCCGAAAGAGAAAAGTTAACTTTCGGTTTTTCTTCGGTTTCGGCCGAAATTGACTTAGGCTTTCGGCCATCCGGCTGAAAGTGACTCAGGTTTTCGGTCATTAAATACTCAACGAAAGCGATATTTAACAACAAAATAAGCGACATTTAAGAACAAATTAAGCGATCTTTGAGAACAAACTAAATGATATTTAACAACAAACTAAACGACATTTATGAACAAACTAAACGATCTTTAAAACAAACTAAGCGATCTTTAAGAACTATCTAAGCGATCTTTAATAACAAACTAAACGATCTTAAAGAACAAACTAAACGATTTTTAAGACCGAACTAAATGATCTTTAAGATCAAAACAAATGATCTTTAATAGGAAACTAAATGATTTATAAGAATAAACTAAGCGATCTTTAACAGAAAACTAAATGTTCTTTAGGAACAAACTAAAAGATCTTTAAGAACAAACTAATCGATCTTAAGGAACAAAATCAATTATCTTTAAGAACAAACTAAGCGATCTTTGTGAAAAACTAAGCGATCTTTATGAACAAAACTCACCCATCTTTAAGAACAAACTGACCGATCAATAACAACCAACTAAACGATCTTTAAAAACAAATTAAGCTATCTTTTAGAACCACAATTTTTAGAGACCCGGTTTAAAAATATAATAATTTGCATTAATTTCCTCCCCCCCCACCTCAATTTTTGCCAAATTTTCTCCTAACATACTAATTAAAAAAATTGTAATGCAATTTAAATTACTTTTATATTAAAATGGTAAAATCCAAAATATTCATTAGATCAAGGGTCTCAAACTCAAATCACCAGGGGGGAGGGGGGCGCAGGAGGTAGTGTCTGAATGAGAGTGGGCCTCATCAAGTAATCCACAAAAAAGCGACTACAACTGTTACAATCTGCTCAACCTTTATAAATAACAATAAAATCATTAAGGGTTCTCAAGAACTAGGATTCACTTTCATCCACCTACTCACTGTTGCATTAAAAAATATATAGAAACATTACAAAAAAAACAAACAAAAAAAAAACAGAATTAGACTAGTCGGTGAGATTCGACCGACACCGTCGCGGAGAGTCACGCTATAGCTATGAGAATGGGGGAAACGGGCCGGCGCATTTACACTAAACTTTTCTGTCATGTAGCGGGCCGCACAATATCGTCTTGCGGGTCACAAATGGCTCGCGGGCCGCGAGTTTGAGACCCCTATATTAGATGTTTATTTATTAATATTCACAATTATCTCATTTTTATAAAAAGAATGTAAATATTTATGCTTTCCCCACATCATTTTCGATGTATGCAAAATGTATGCGGGAACGAATTTCAAAATATCTATTTATTTCATTTTCGGTTTCGGCCGAAATTCATTTTTAACTTTCGGCCTTTTTTCGATTTCGGCCGAAAGTCATTTTAAACTTTCGGCCTATTTTCGGCTTCGGCCGAAATCAGAAAATCACTTTCGGTCGGCCTCTACCGTGGATGGACGGCTCACCCGGGCTGTGATTAAAAAAACAACAACACAACAACAGAACATTGACAGCCTTATTATTTGAAACGTGAAATTGAGCAACCGACCACATCAGCGTGCTGAATGCTTCGACGTTGTCCGCTGGATGGACAGAAAACATGCCATATTATATATATATATATATTATATATACGTATGCATATATCCTACCGAAAAAAAGGAGAAAAAATAGGAGTGGGTGCAAAAACCAGACCGAAACAAAGTAAAGAAGAATGGAAAGTGATCTATGGCCCGGTGGTGAATTGGCCCGGCGGCGAAATAGCCCGGCGGTGAAATGGCCTGGTGGTGAAATTAATAGTAATATTAATATAATATGATATTAATCATAATTAAATTGATATATAATGAATTAATCTATATATAACCCAACATGAGATTGTTTTTCAAGTGTCCTGTCCAAGTTCAGATGCGAACTCAAGCACTTGATGTTGTTATGGAGAGGTTTTTGTTTCTTAGTTTCCTTTTAAATAATATTATAATTATAA